CACGCCCAGCCCGGGGAGCTCGCCCGCCCGCCCGCCCGCGGCCCCGCTGCGTTTCCGAAGGGCAAGAAATTCGGCCTTTTCATTTTATCCGCACGCTTTCCCTCCCTCCCTGCCTGCCCGTCTACGGACCGAGCTCGCTTCCTCCCGCTGCCCCCCCTCCCTGGCGGCGGCGCGCGGCAGAGCGGCCGCCGCCGGGGCGGATCTGAGGCGGGCGCGGGGCGGCGGGGCTGCATGAAGACCTCTGCCGGCCGCACTCTCCGCCGCGCCGGGGCAGCCCGGGAGCCGTGGGGGCTGTGAGCGGGCACGAGCCGAGAAAAGAGCAGCAGCACACGAGGATTTCCCCCTCGCGAGTGGATTGCCGGAGCAGGGCAGGGAAGGAGAGAAAGAAGCGGGGGTTGGGTTTTTGGGGTTTTTTTCCCCTTTAATCCGTTCAGTGGATTGCTACCAGGGTGGAAGATCAGCGGGGCTTTTTTGTTGTTGTTTTGTTTTGTTTTGTTTTGGGAATAGAAACTAAAAATGGAGACTGTAAGTAGAAGCAGCTTCCAGCCTCATCCAGGACTGCAGAAAACCTTGGAACAGTTTCATCTGAGCTCTATGAGCTCCCTGGGTGGCCCTGCTGCTTTCTCGGCACGATGGGCCCAGGAGATGTACAAGAAGGACAATGGCAAGGACCCGGCGGAGCCCGTCCTGCATCTGCCCCCCATCCAGCCTCCCCCGGTGATGCCAGGCCCCTTCTTCATGCCCTCAGATAGGTCCACGGAGAGGTGCGAGACCATCCTGGAAGGGGAGACCATCTCCTGCTTCGTGGTGGGGGGAGAGAAGCGGCTTTGCTTGCCCCAGATCCTGAACTCGGTGCTCAGGGACTTTTCCCTGCAGCAGATCAACTCGGTGTGTGACGAGCTGCACATTTACTGCTCCAGGTGCACGGCTGACCAGCTGGAGATCCTCAAAGTCATGGGCATCCTGCCCTTCTCTGCCCCCTCCTGCGGGCTCATCACCAAAACCGACGCGGAGCGGCTGTGCAATGCCCTGCTCTACGGGGGCACCTACCCGCCGCACTGCAAGAAGGAGTTCTCCAGCACCATCGAGCTGGAGTACACGGACAAGAGCTTCAAGGTGTACCACGAGTGCTTCGGGAAGTGCAAGGGACTCCTGGTGCCGGAGCTTTACAGCAACCCCAGCGCAGCCTGCATCCAGTGCTTGGACTGCAGGCTCATGTACCCACCGCACAAATTTGTGGTCCACTCTCACAAGTCCCTGGAGAACAGGACTTGCCACTGGGGCTTTGACTCGGCCAACTGGAGGTCCTATATCCTCCTCAGCCAGGATTACACTGGGAAAGAGGAGAAAGTTAGACTGGGCCAGCTCTTGGATGAAATGAAAGAGAAATTTGACTACAACAACAAATACAAGAGAAAAGCACCCAGGGTAAGTAAGTGTGCGTGTGTTTGTGTGTGTGTGTGTGGGGGGGGGGTTGTTTGGTGGTTTTTCCCCCAGTTTTTTATTTTAAGACCGAGAGATGAGGGGGGCCAGGGGGAGCCAGACTGCGATTTCAGACTTGCACTGAGATGGAAAAGTCCAGGGCACCAGAGCTGCTGTTAAAGCCATGCAGCAGTCTGTCATGCTGGAAAATCACGCTGTGTGTTAAGGTGGGGGAGAAGCATTTAAAGAGAGCACTTTTTTTTTTTTTTTTAGCTGCAAGCTGAAATTGGTTTTCTTCTTGTTAGAGGCTTTAGGTTTAATTTAAAAACAGATTAATTTTTGTCTATGATTTAGGGGCCGATCCTGTGGTCCTTGCAAACTCTTACCCCCTCCTCCTGACTGTAACAGGGAATGAAAGTGGTGGCAGGACATTGGCATCAGAGGCTGAAAGTGGGGGAGGTCAGGGCAAGGAAGATGCACATGAAGTAAAAGGAACAGACTTGTGGACAAATACATAAAACCCTCTTAATTGAATAGCTCTGGGAACAGGGGCTAAATTATCTCTGCATATATTTGGACTAAAAGTAGCTGCTTATAAGGTTGCATAGAAAAACCCTGATGATAAATGAGTATACTAGTAGTGCGTGGTATGTGAATGGATAAGACTCTGGCACAGTGGTGCCTGGCTCCTGCCACCAGACTGGCTTTTGTGTATTGGATTATGTAGACAGTCAGTGAATGGATCTGTCTCGAGTCAGCTGCAGCAGCAGCCTCCAAGGTATGCCATCCGGGTTGAGTCTGCCCATCCACACAGCTAGAGCACTTTTTTTTTTCCGGTGGCTTTTTTCAGGCTGAGCAGCCTGTACATCTCAGCATCCCCAGTGTGTGGGTGGAAGGCTGCCTTGGCACCTGGCACCAGTCCTAATCAATGGGCAGCAATGCTACAAGGGCCCTGAGAACTAGCTCACAGACACCAGGATGTCTGGCTGGCGATGGTGTAATTGGCTGTGGGATGAGTAAGACGCCCTGTGCTCTCTCTCTCTCTTTTTTTTTTTTTTTAACAAACAGCCCCCCCCCCGACTTGTCTTGGCTTTTGTTTTTAACTCCTTCTACCCAATACTCTGTCAAGTAAAACTGAAGGGATCTTTGAAAGCTTTCCTTGCTGGAGTTGGAGGGGCCAGGATGGACGGAGCTGGGAGCAAGCTCTCCATTCTCAAGAAGCAACAGCGATTTTGCTGGTCATGGATTTACTCTCTTTAACTTTCTAAAGGTTCATTTAAACACACACACACTTTTTTTTTTTCTTTAAAAATATCTAGGTTTTTTTAGATACCTGGATATTACCTATAGTAAGCTAACCTAGGGAGGCCCAATTCCTTGATTTTATTGCCTCTAACTTATTTTTAAACCATGAATAGACACCCTCTTTCTAGTCCCAGTTTCCATAATTGTCTCCCACTCATCCCCCCACTTTTCCCACAGCTGGAGTGTCAGAGCCATTGTGGCAGGGCTAAACTATAATGAGCCACATTATCTCCATAGTTGGAGGTGGATGTGTTTTTAATGGCTTGCCTGTCCTCCGTTAATCATGTGCTAAGATGGCATGGTGATGTCTGTACATGTGTGTGGGGAGGGAAGGGACCAAGAGGTGGTGGAGTTTGCTTGCTGTAATAATGCATCCCTTTCAGAGCACTTCTTCCTCCTTGGGAAATGAGAGCAAGACATTTTTTCTTTCACACCCTGAAAGGGGTGTTCTGATATTATTGGAATCTGTCCCATGTTTGTTGATCCCCTTGCACCGCAGTTCAGTTCCCTTTAAATATTGCAAGGGTTATGCATTTGTTTTATCTTACAGGGTTTTTTTATGATGCTATTTCCTGGTTTTAGTAGCATCCAGCACCTATAAGTCGAGCTGTGGAAGAGCCATTTTCCAGAACTGGCTTCTGAATTTGGGAAGCTCTTGACTTTTTTGGGTATTCATCTTGAGATCCCCTCCCCAAATGAGCTTTATTTTCCCAGAATGTACTGAGCACCCTCGGTGCCAGACAAAGTCAGCAAGAACTGAAAGTGCACAGCTCCTCTGACAAGGCAGGTTCAAGATGGCTCAAGCTGGGTGCCTGAAAGCGGCGGCATAAAACCCAAAATTGGTGGCTCTTTTGGAAAATGTTAGTAAAACAGGTTAATTACTATCTGGGATTTTCAGGGTCTTGGAGGGCATTTGGTGGTTTTGGGGGTTATTGGGAGTGGAGGGGGGAGGGGAAGAGACCAAAGTGTCTCATGGGTCTTTTGATGATTAAGTGCTACAGGGGAAATGATTTATTTTAGTTCCTGTGCAAAACTGGGCTAAATTTCAAGGCTTTTGAGTTGGCTTCAGGGCTCCCGTATAAAATACAGTATAATCATTAAGAGGCCTTGTCAACAATCCATTTACCTGTCAGTACAAGCACAATTTTGGAATTGCCTTTGCTCACTTATGCTTCCTTTTTTTCCAACCTTTTTCCATCAGATGTAGCCAACTGGATGTCATATGCTAAGGTCATTTGTGGTGTAGCAGCATTTGCAGATAATTATGGAGAGATTCAGTCTGGCTCTAGGGCTGCTAGACTGCAGCCAGAGGCAACTAATGTAGTAAATTTTACATTGCCCATTGAGAAAATGAAAGGATGATCCTGTGTCTAGTTCTGGGTGTTTTTGCTTGTCACTGTTTCTGCGTTGGCTGCGTGTGGTGGCACTTGTAGGGTGAAGGTGCAAATGTGTGTCCTTTTGTTGCTGTTGCATGAGTTCTCATATAAAAGTGCATGTCTATGTTTGTGTGCCCATGTTATTTATGCTCTTTGTACCATGTATCTTCAATTTTGTTGCTATTACTTTGTCTCAGTTTCATTATGTGTCTGTTTGTTCATATATATGATCTTGTTTGCACATTTGTTTGTGCGGGGTGGCTGGGTGTTGTGCTGTTCTGTTGTTAGGACTGTGTAGTTTATGTTGCCAGGTATACACTCTAGCTAGCATAGCTGCATCACTTAGGAGTGTGAAGAGGTGTGATCCCTGACCAACACGACTGTACTTGCAGGTGCCTCTCTTGTAGATGCAGTTGTACCAGAAATATTTTGCATTTGTCAGCATGGTTTCTGTTGCACGTAGGGGTGCTTTCACTGTACTGCTACAAAGTACAGTTTTTGGGTATATTTGCATCCCCACTGTATATTGCTATTCCAGGGAAGTCCTCAATACTTAGGTCTTTTGCTGGTGCTGTTGTGTGTTGTTTGTGGTGTTGCTACTTCCCAAAGTGATTCTAGTCTAGCTCTGCGCTGTAGGTGCCAGCTCCATGTAGGAGACAGTTAAAGCCAGAGTGGAGGGAGCTTTATGTTCTGCAGACCAGCGGAGCAGGTGTGGAGGGACTCTCTTAAGAAGTCTTGGTGGCTACTCTTACTTCTTTTTGCTTTTAGTTTTATTCCTTTTTTTATCTCTGTAATCTTTGATCTAGTAGTCCTGCATCTTTTCTCACCTGCTCTCCCAGTCTCAGCCTTGCTTCTCTTTCTTTCCAGTTAGTTCTTGGTTGTCTTCTGTAGGCATTGGTTTTATGTGTAGGCCCCGCTCTCCTCTTTCTTTTTTCTGTTAAGTTTTCTTGCCTTTTCAACCCATCCACTCTGTCTGGAATAGAGCATCTCAAAGCACAGCCTTTGAGTTCTAGGTACTTTCCTGCGATTTAAAACATAAATAATTAAAGTATTTCTGGACTGGAAAAATGGCACCAAATTTCCCATGGCTTGCTTTGGTAGGCCCGCGCAGCTGGTGTGTTATGATTGTCCTTTGCCAGGATAGGCAAGGCTTGTCTTCTCTCTGGGCGCATCTACACGTGCCAATTTAAGACACATTAGCCATTTCTAAGGTGTGTTAAGGGTGTGCATCTACATGTGTGCACACTTAATGTGCCTTAAAAATGGTGATTTTAGGCTATTTTTGCCTAAATTTGATACCTGTAAAAGCAGGTAGCAAATTTAGGCACAAATAGCTAAAGCGCCTTAACACGTGTAGATGCGCTGTGTCAAGTGACTTGGGACTACCTTTAGTCCCAAGTTGGTCTACACACCACATTAATGCACCTTAGCGCATGCATGTGTAGACACATGCCTAAATTGCCTTAATGCACATTAAGTTTAGGCGCCTGTAAAAACACGTGTAGACATGCCCTCTCTCTTTCTCCTTTGTTGCTTTGCTTGTACTCTCACATGGTGGGGCAATATCTGCTTTCTGGCTGCCAGTGTCCCTTTGTAAAGACTGAGCTGCTAAGCACTCACAAAGGGGTTGTAGGGCTTGGTCGGTAAGTAGGCTGTATCTAGTAGAGCAGTATGGGATCCTGCCCCTCTCCTAGGACAGGGTTCTGTGGGTCATTGATCTGCATGCAGTCTGAGCATACTTTAACATTTCCTCCTCCTATTTCATATCCCTACAGTTTTAACGCAACCGAGTATAGTCAGACTAAGAGGATAAAGGAGAATTCTTGTGTGTGTATGCACGCACACCTGCACTGCAGTGTTTCCAGGGCTCAGGCCTCAACATTTTTATGAAGTAGCTCGTTGTAAGGTGGCAGGAGCACTGTGGATTCTGACACACAAATGAGCGCACAGGGCCTCCTACTATTTCACAATTCCTCCTAAGCTAGAACTACCACAACATGTAGCTTTCTTCACAGAACAAGGTTTAGCCAGGTCAAGTGTGCAGCCAAATGAAAGAACAGAAATTATTCATAGTGAAATACTGCAGCACTGAGTGACATTGTAAGATGGATATGGCCATTTACATATTTCACAGCTGTCGCTGCGTAGCACACTGTCCACCTGGAACGTTGCAGCAGCAGGGACAGAACCCAGTTTTCTCTGGATCATCTTCATTGCTCAGCAGTACAGACCCTCTGATTCTGCACAGTGGCACTGGCTACCTCTCCACTATTGGTATACAGTGGGCTAAATCAGAAGTCATTAGGGACTTTTGCCTGCCAAAGG